GGGGGGCAAAACTCTTCTGCACGGTGACACCAGAACAGAGGTAACGCTGCTGGTTTCGCAGTCCATAACGAACGTTCAGGCAGGCAGACTCAATGTGATGGGTATGTGCCTACAGCACTTTTAATTTTTAATTATTGTTAGTTATAATTATCTGACTGTGTCTGAATGAAACCCAGCAATATGGCTGGAATAGATTTTGGTGTTCTTGTAATTTATTAGCTTTGTAACTACTAATAATTAAAATTTAACAATACTCTAAGCACCACAGCAACATTTTTTAGAAACGCTAGCCAGATCTGCTCACATAACTGCCTGGGTCATCTTCAGGATTTTAAGGGAAGAACAAACAGTAAAAAAAAAAAGAAATTAACACATCAATGCAGAAATATAAATTCTGCCCAAAATGAAAAAAATAGGTTTTCTTTGTGGAAAACTAACTGCTCACATATTTTGTTGATGCTTCATACAGAGCTTAGAAAGAGCTTGCGGTTTGTTTCCAGCTACTGTGTTGACACTGCAGTCCTGCTAAGCTCTGAAATAAGCAGGGGTTACATAAGTAGGAGGAGCGCTGCTCTCCGGGTCCTGTCGCCCTGCCACGCTCCTCCATCCCCAGGGAAACATCTTTCCTGCAGCAGCATCAAAATGCCACAGATTTGCATTTCCCTCTCTGACTGTATAAACACTCGTCCAGAAGCACTGAGATATTTCAGGGTCTCATAAGAACAATTTGACTCCTATCCAATTCAGCTGGTGACACCAAACAGTTCTGAAGAGTGGGGTGCAGACCCAAGATCGCTTCAGTCTCTCTCCTGTGCTCTGACTGCTGGTGGCAAATGGAGCTCCGGGGCTCTCATTCCCCACCTGCTTCACTGCATGGCCCAGGGATCGCTGGCAGCAGCAGCTGGCTACCCACAGCCTCGCAGCAGTGCTTGCAAGGAGGCCCCAGGGCTGCAGAGCAGCACCTCCACACCTCCCATGAGGACCTGTTGTCCCTAGGTGGCTCAGAGCAGTGCCTTGCTCCCCTGGGCAGCAGGCAGCTCAGTATGAGAAGTGTCTGACACCGAGCTGACGTTAAAGGCAGACTTTAAAAAGAAAACCTGCTTAGGGCTTGAGCTGCTGTAATCAGTGGAAAGAATCCCAAGGACTTCGATGTGGACCAAATCGAGCCCCTGGAGGACATTCATGGTAAATCATTATTAATATAACGAGCTCAACTTCTGTGCAGCAGCTCATGCCTGTTTATAGATATATGAAAATTGCCAGCTTTTCACATAAAATAAAATGAGGAAGGAGACAGACCACAGTGTTAACCAATGAGCCATAGTAGCCACTCTCCTTTTGCTACATGTTCATTTAAAGGACCTGGGCACCTGAAATGACAGCAAATTTCTCCAGTGAAGCTCCCTTAATTTAACAGTTTGACATATCTCCAAATCTGAGCAAAAGAAAGCCCTTTATCCATAATAGGCAATGAAACACCTGAACACCTGTGGTAGGAAGGACCTGGCAGTACCTGGCAGTACCTGCTCCCCCAGTACCTGGAGTGTGCGCTTTGTTTATTGTATCCCTTGCCTTGGTTTTCATCAATTGTAATCATTTAGGAGGAAACAGTATGATTAACAGAACACAAGCAAACAGCAGGAATTAATCCTTTAAGTACAAATACTCCATTGGTTGTGTGATGGCTCCTTGGAAAATGCAGTGGCAAAAGAGCACGTATGAAAATTCTCCTCCTGGTTCCTCTAAAAATCACTGTTCAGCCACATTTTGCTTATTGCAGTTCTCAATGCAGGCAACTGAGGAGGCACATCCCCCAGCTGGGAGCAACGCCGCAACCCTAACTCTCAGCACCCAACAGGTATCCCATTTCTAACCCGTCCTGGGAGCAGGCAGGGCTCCCTATTATGTTTTGAACAGTAAAGATTCAAAGTTCAGCTGTCAGAGAGCTATGCACCCCCACACCTCCACACCCCATGTGCCACAGTGGCTCCAGACACTCTGGACAGCAGCACTACAGCCCAGGCTCAGAGGGCTCCCCAGCCCCACTGGTGAGGACTGCCCTCCCCGCTTCTACACTTCAGCAAGCGCTTTCAGCAGGATGCAAGAAATGCCATAGCCTTGATGTATTATGAATTAGGTATAAATTTATTTTTTTTTCCATGCCATTCTCATCATATTCACAGATGTCAATCTCTGCAAACAGGATGTGCAAAACAAGGAGCTGCCAGCCCTTTCTCCCCTGCCCTGAGGGCACCCTCAGTTATCACACTGACTATTTCCACCGTGCTCCGTATTTAACCACACCGTGTTTTGTTTCCTCATTTCCAATGAGATAACGCAAGCAGCTGAATAACCGTTCTGTTTTCTTTTCCTCTGGCAGTATTAGCATAACCTCCCTGACTCATCACTCCAGGTTCACACCAGAGTTTCCACAGCTTATAAAATGAGCTCTGTTCCTCCAAGCTTTCTTAAGCCTTAGTTTTACAGCTCCATCAGATAGCTTAAACTTCAAAGCACAAACACACGCTAAAATACAACTGCTAGTTCAGAAATGAAAAGAGGGTTTGATTGTTGCAGGAGTGTTATGCTGCTGAAGCAGGATTTGCCCCAAGCACTGACATGTACACTTGGAGTGGGGAGCTTTTCATCACATGGCACACATATGCCTCTCCTGGCATGCACTGTGTTCAAGATAACTATTTAGACAAACGTTTACAAGTCAGCAGGGCTAATTCATACTGCTCCAGGACATCTCTAAAAGTTACCTCTTCCTGCACTGCATGCCGTTCTCCCCCCTCTCCTCCTTTTCCCTGTTTTTGCAAGAATGACATTCAATTTCTCCTTGAATATCAGAATACTCATTTTTCTAGAAAAAGTATTTTCAGTAATCTCACTTAAAAATACAAAAAGCAAACAAGGCATAGGTTCTGATTTTGGCCTAAAAGAATAGCTGTTATTTTACAGCAGTGGGATCAGAACTGAAAAGTCAAATTCATCAAGCAGGCCCATTTGGTGGGTGGCGATTTTCTCTTGCAAGAAGTGCACTGCTAAGAGAGCAAATGTTTATGCAGATTGAAATTGCAGCTCAACAACTGGTTCACTAAAATAATACAAAATCTTCATCATTCAGCAAAAATGTAACAAACAGCTGAGGAATCTGGAACAAGCAGCTTGCATATCGTTAACTGGAAAGATAATCACACGAGTCAGGTAGGATCAGAAGTTCTGAGTGTTTCTAACTGATTGTACACGTTTTGTGCCCTCCTTGACTCAGGTATTTGAATTAATAAAACCCCTGGCATCAAGTAAACGCTTTTTTGAATCACCACTAAAATAAGGACTGAAACAGTGCAGCTAAGAATTAAATTTTCATTCAGCCAACACCATTCAAAGCTACTTGGGTAATTATTTTAAGTACAGAAATGTTAAATGCACACAAATCCTGCGTGAAAACTGGAAAATTACAATTATAATTTATCTGATTACAGCTGCTATTTGCAGCAATTTTGCAATGAACAACACTTCAGAATTGAAACACTATGTAATTAAACTGTTAATTGCAAAAAAAAAAAAAAAAAAAAAAAAAAAAAGGGGGAGCCACTGCTAAGACTATAATTTAACAAGGTTCTGTTTATTTGACTGTCTGATTGTAAAGGTTAATGCAGTGGCACAGGAAGCCAGTACACCCATTTTAATTGTGCTGGCATCTTGACCAAATACCACTTAAAAGGCAAATCGAGATGAAAACACTGTTGCAAACCACTGCCGCCTTCACAAAATGCTCCTGGTGACAACACACAAACCCAAATCTGCTGACTTTATTCAAACATTAACAAGGTATAGTTAAAACTTTTGTACACTTATGCAAATCAGGTTGCTAGAACAAGAGAGAGAAGAGATTCCCCTGGGAGAAAAAAAAATAAAATCAACAAAGTGAAAAGATCAACCATCCTTCCACAGCGTGACAGCAAGACACAAGAGGCAGCAGCTTGGGAATTCAGCAACATAAATAAAAACCCTCCAAAGTTTAAGTAAATTGTGTATTACAAAGCTAACAGATGTAAATGAGGCACACAGTACCATTCTAGGAGAAGGCCAGGTTTGCCAGCAGACAGCACACCATGGCAGCACAACTTAGGTAAAGGCACCTGATGAAGGGCAGGGCAGCACTCCTGCAGCACAGCACTGTGTTCCCCTGTGGGACAGCGCACACACAGGGCTTGTTCTGCACTTGGAGCAGCACAAAGTTAATGCCCCACAGAGTTTCCAGCCTCTAAGGGCTCAGCACCAAAGGTACTGACACAATTTAAAACCCAACCTCAGCAATGCAGCTCCAGGGCAACCCCGAGGTTCAGGACTCCAGCAGCACCTCCAGGTCAGGGCCTGGTTCCTTGGAAAGCAACCAGGAACATAGGACAGGCTCCACCTCAGGAGCAGGTAAAACTGAAGAGACTGCAGCCCCCAGGGAAACCAGTATGCAGTGTCTGCCTGACAGAACCTGCTGCTTATTAATGTGCTATTGCCTTGGTGGAGCTGCTAATGAAGCGTCACGTTCAGCCATACCCATGCTTTGCTCTCACACCTGGGTGGAGAAAATTCCTTTACTTTTGACTTAGCAGTGGGGAAGTGTACTATTTAGCAGTAAGGGTAGTGTACTATTTGCTTAGTCTTTGTATGTTAATCAGTTCCTAAATTATTAATAGAGAAAAAGAAATTATTTACAAGGTGTTTGACGTAGACATGTCAGGATGTAGCAACTCCACTGTCAAGAGAAATACTCATAAAGAATCATGATATCTGCCTTGTCTTATTTACTTATTTCAGCCATGCTCAAAGACCCTTCGTTCCTGATAGCATCCCAGGAGGCAGGAGACAGAGAGTTTAAGATCAGGAGGAGAGACCGTATTGGATGTGCACTTTCTGCAGTTGCTGTACAAGGGTGAAGGCTACACACAGAAAAAACCAACAAAGCTTTGCTTTTACTCCTCTTGCAAACATACCTGAAGCTCTGTTTGAAAGAAGAACTTCTGTGGGCACTGGGAACAGTCATAAATTTTATCTTCCTGTCCGTGGACTGCAAAGATGTGCTGCTGCAGTTTATTTGCCTGCACAAAAACTGAAAGAACACAGTACAATTAATTAAAATTGCTTCATATAACATATCCCATCTCGAACTACACTTTTATGACTGCAAAGACTCTAAAAAGTCCAAGGATATCCACCAGAGAAGTGCCAATACACTCAGTGCAGCAGAACGTCCTTACCGGTGGTCAATTTAGAGTCTCCAGGCTGGCAGTCAGCTCACTTCTGACGGGCTCTAAATCCTGGATGGACTTTTGATATTTCACATAAAGCTAATGCTGTCCACGGGTGACTGGAAGAACTCAGTCATCAGAGCGAGCAGAGGACGTCACCGCTCCTGCAGGGAGCCCTGGCCCCACAGCAGGTGCATTGGATGCATTTTTAATGCAGGACAACTGGGCCAGGAGCGGCCTTGATGGCTGGTCTGGAGGATGAGTGCCCAGAGCAGCATTTCTGGCAGACACGTGAACCTGAAAGGGCAGGCTGCCACGGTGTTCAGACCTTCTAAATGGGTTGTCCTTCCAATATAGAAAAAAGATTATGATTTGATGTTACAGATATCTACATCTACATTAGGATTTTGAATTGATAATTACCCTGTCTTTAACAAGTGAAATGAAAAACATATTGAACTCCAGCTTCAGCTGGTTAAAAATATGTCTCATTCAATTTTTGTCTCATCTTATATGACCTCTCAGCAGTAAATGAAAAAAGCTTCTTCAGCAGAATTAAAGAGATGCAGTCAAACACATTACAGTGTGCTTCAGGAACAGAAAAACTAACTCCAAGTTCTCAAAAAGCATTTCTCAGACTAAGGAGCACGGGGCTGAGGGGACCGCAGGAGCTGACACTCAGCCCGTGGTCACACATGGCAGTCATCCCTAGGCAGTTTGGAAACTTAGGTGTTAACTGCTATTCTGATGAGTGAGTAAAAGGCACCCTTAAAATGCATCCTGAAGATCTTTTGAGAAGGGACCATCCAGGACATTTGCACTGATAAGACAGCTGAAAACAAACCTCAGGGAAGGAAAACAGAGGAGGCCCTCAGATGAACACAACTGCAAAGGAGCTGGAAACATGTTGACGAGCTGGCTGCCCTTAGAGAAACCTTTCGGAGGGAGGTGTCAGACCACACTGTTTTGTGATGGGATCTCATGTGAGCGAGGCTTGCTGCTGCACGTGGCACACAAGGAGGGTCCTCATGAGAACAGGCCCCCATCCTGCAAGTTCTGCTCTTAGAGATGCATCTCAGGCCACAGCCTGAAAGGCCCCAATTGCAAGAAGTAACACAGGGCCGGCTGCATTTGGGCAGTGCCGTGAGATGTCAAACTCCTCAGTGCTGCAGTTTCAGACAGGAGACATTCTGAACATTTCCAAGCACAGTATTTCTTTTCCCAAGAAAAGGCATACAGTATTTTACAAATCCCCCGAGTGTCATTTCTGGATCAAGCCATGCACACTGAGGCTTGTCTCAGTCTCCCTGTCTTACCTGTGAAACAAACAGGGCATTTGAATGTGCCTCCCATCCCCTCAAAGCTGTGCTCAATCAGGTGACACAGGAGCTTTGCCGGAGAGTCAAACATCTGGTTACACAGCTTGCACTCATGATTGATGCCTTCCTCTGCAAGGTTCAAATGATACAACTTGTTAGTGACACAGCACATTAGCGTCTGCGATGCAGCAGTCGGCGAGAAACGCCCGTGCCCAATGCCGTGCACACAACTTCAAGGGCCCACAGCCACCAGCAAGGCACAACCTTGTGCACTGAGCTCAGGTGAGCAGCCCCGCTTACGTTAGGAGCATTTCTCTGCAGCTGGGATGCAGGCGATGCCGTGTGCTGCTGCCGGGCTGCGCCCATCCCGTGCCGCTCCTCGCGCCTCTGCACACAACAGAGACGTCGCTGCTCTGCGTATGTATTATTAAATACTTAGCATTTAAAATGAATTTAACAGTGAATTCAACCATGTACTCTGAAAGCAGGCTTCATCACCTCAGATTACACTGCAAATATAGCAGGGAGGAACAGGCTGTGGAAGAATAGCAGGAGCCCAGACCAGTGCTGGCCTTAATTTTATATCTCTTGGCTTTTTCCAAGCTGAAGAGAGACCATTAAAGGGATTTAAATGTCATTTGAAAGAGTAATTTCCATGTAACATATCCTAAACATTATTCTAGGAGGTGCACTGAATATGCAGTGCCCACTGCAAATGCCCCGTGATCAAGAGGAACTCACAGGGAAATAATAACAATCACTCTTAATTCCAGCCTACCACCTTTGCAAGATGGTATGTTTCTCTTTTACTGACTTCTGTATTTTTGTTGCCTCTGTGTCATTTTTTGAGGTATTGAAGCCATATTTTCTTTGGTTTTCTTGAAATGAGGGAGGGAGGAACAGAGATTTAAAAAAAACATAGGTTTAAAACGTACACTTTATACAACCCAGTGAACATCTGAACTTAAAAGATTTTGCAGACGGTTTTTGTAAGCACTTCTCGAAAACATCTACCCTTCATCATGGCAGCACGCATGAAAGTCATGAACACATATTTCAAAATCTAAAGAAATTGCCTTTTGATTTACACTCAGGTTTATTTTAATATCTCCAAACCTCACTGACTTCAGCTGATAGTTCCAAGATGCCCAAGAAACTACTGCATCATCCCATGAAATAATCTCCTGCCAAATGCATTCGGATCTTGCAAATACTGTCAGCATTCAAAAGCACAGCCTCTATTTATAATTACTTTAAATAAGCTTTAAAGCAGTCAAACGGAGGGAAATCATTGTTTCTTTAGGACCTTTGGTGCTCCCGGGATCTCAGTGCCCTGTTTCGGGGTGGGAAGGCGAGCAGTGGGTCCAGCACCAGGGTGGCCCATTGAGCTGAGTTCAACAGCTCCCACAGCCATACATCTGCATGGCTGCAGCCAAGGCATCCCCAGAGCTCGTGTGCCTTGATGGGACCTCCATGCGAGGAGGGGGGGAAATAGAAATTATTTACAAAATGTATCAGTATGCAAGGGGCAGGCTCCTGTCCCTCCCCAAAGGAGGCTGCTGGCCTTTCTCTGCAGAGGGCAGAAAGCAGGTAAGGATCTGTGCCTCGCACCGCCTGAGCATGCCCAACAATGCATGCAATAAACTTGGAGAGGACAAAGCAGATACTGGGGGAATGGAACAAATTCCTTCTGCGAGTAAATCAGAGAAATCATGTTTGACATTAATTTTCTATTCTCCACGTAGTGAGTGTTTGGAAAATAGTGATTCATGCGCAGCCCGGTCCTGTGTGAGCATGTGTGTTCATAAATACAGACACAGGCTGCTGATGAGAAGACTGCTCCTCTTGCAGCCTAAATATCTTTAATTTCAGTACAATTAAAAGAAGGATTTCACAGCATTTCGACTGAAGTATGTCCTTACCGACTCGGTCTGTTTAATTAGGTACCAGAGATTGTGTATTCTCTTGGCTGATCCCCGCAGTATTTTAAATAGTTAAACCTATAACAAACAAACTAAAACTCGAATGAAAAATAATAAAACATAATGGGTTCCTGCAGATCTGGAAATTTATCCCACTCGAGGCAAGACCTTTTGATTTGCAAATCCACTTCTGAATTATAAGGCCTTCTCCTCACCGGTGGGGGTTTTTATTCCACTCCCACAGGAGTCCATTATGTATTTCTCGTGTCTATAAAACCATCCAGGAAGAAAAAAGGTGGAAAAAAGTACCATGGTTAGCATGACAAACGCTTCTCTTTTCATGCATGTGTATTCAAAATATGAAAATGCCCAAAGATATAGATAGAATTGCTGCTATAATCACTCTCTTCTCTGTGGCATTTTACAGCATATTATTTTACACAGAAACGCGGTGCGTGTGTAGGGGCACTCAGTCACCTTTGGAGAATAACTTCAGTGAATTATCTGGGATCATACAGGAGCACAAGGCGGCCTCCAGACAACGCAGCCAACGCCAGCCCTCCCTGCAGCCACGTGCGCCGGGCGTCAGCACACAGCGCATCGCGGCGTTCCCCTCATCTCTGTTCTTCTTAAAAAAATAAAAATGACAGGCATCTATGAGACCTACATAACTCCAGTGAATTATGCAGCCCCTCTCATTTGTAAAATAAAATGCAGATTTTTACAGCTCGCTGTGCTAGATCTTCTCCCATCTCTCCGTAAGTGTATCTATGCGGGGATCAACTGATTTAACACTAAACGAGCCACGCACGGCCAACAAGAATCTTGGGCTCCTTGCCTTTTTTCTTCCTGCACTCAAAATAATAAGCATTAATTTTACACTTCATTTCTCAAAAAAATAATAGGGTGTGCTCTTGTTTAAAACAAGCAGGCCTGCTGGATTCTGTCAGGCTGAAACTATGTCAGGCCAAAAGAGGAACAGAGCGCTTTGTGTAAAAGTATCATGGTGAGATGATAGTATCCTGTAATGTTTTCAGTACCTACTTTTGTCTCCAAAAGCATTTGATCCCTGGCAGACACACACTTATTTCCATACTGGTCTTGGGGGAAGCCGGTAGGAACGAGAGCTGATTATCTGAATCCTGAAGGTGAAACCTGGGTGGTGCCCACTGATGTCAAAGGCAGCGATTGTCTAAATGTTGAGGTACATAATTTACTGCCTGTTCGGAGGGCTGGGGGCTGCGCGGCCCCGGCTGAACCGCGGCGGTGGAGCACGTCCTCATTGTTCTCAAGTTGAAATGCATTTGCAGGATGGTTCACGTGTGTTGATAGGAGCTCAGCTGCATTTACACCAACACCCTGCCCGCTCCTGAGCAGGAGCGCGCCGCTCCATGCAGCCCTTTCTGCTGCTGCAGCGTGCATTTAATACATATTACAACGAGTCTCTCAGCCTCTAAGAGAACTGACGCCCGCAGCCTCCTGGCGAGGATGCAGTATAATTAATAATGCTGTATTAAGCCCGCGCACTGTATCAGCTGCATTTCTAATTATGACTATATTAATAGCGATATAAAACGATGCGCTAACAGTGCCATGTACCGACATGTTATCAAACCAATAACAAACTGCAATTTGAACAATAAAACAGCATCGTCTTCACTGTTAGTTAAAACTTCTCTTCAACTTGATTTAATAAAGCAAAATTTCCCCTCACGGAATAACCACAACAGTCCTAATTTGAAGGAGTGCGTGCGGCCGTCTGATGCTCCTGACAGCAGCACACATCCTGTGCCACAGCTCTACCACGCTGCAGCAAATCACAGCAATAAAAGGGAACGTCTTTCCTGTTCTCAGATATACACATCCATGGCTTAACCACACTTTTAATGAACTTTGAAATGCTGTAATTCAGTGTAACAAAGCATTAATACGCAGTGCTCACAGAGAACCTTCTTCCGTCCCCTATATCATAAATCTGGTAGAATTAAATGGGCCATGTAAGGAGCGCTCCGATTGTAACAGAAATAAATACAAATTGGAATGAATGCAGGGAAATAAAACGAAGACTGCATGAAACTATTCTGTTTATGCAATTCATTCCTCAGTAAATAAGTAAGCAAAGGGATACATTTGTAACAGGAGAAAAGCAGAAGGAGCCCAAGCACTGATCCATGTGGCTGTGCAGGAGCGAGGGGCTGTGGCCAGGAGGTGACAGTGACGGACATCCCTGCTGAACAAAGCCATGGGAACGCCGGGCCGGCAGCACCAACGTGACTGCAAAGCCTGGGGCTGGGAGCAGGGCACGCCACTGCCAGGGGACGGCAGATTCACAGTGCTTCACGCCAGACTTGGACGACGCCTGCTATCCAGATGGCATTCTTCCACTGCTGCTGTTCCTGCGCCCCGTCCCGCTGTATGGCATCCCTGAACACCCCGTGCCGGTGGGTTCCATAATGAATCCCAGTGGACATGGCCGAGCCCTCCCACACCCCCAGACCCCGCGCGGGGCCTCGCAGCCCGGCAGTGGGAGGCAGCGGATTGATGGCGCGGCAGCTGAGCGTCACCTGGGGAGCTGGGTGCCATCCTCCCAGGGATGCTGGAGGTCAGTTACCATGGCAACGTTGAATGAGCTCAACCTTGTAACTGACCCTTATCTTTTTTTGATCTGTGGCCCATTTGGGACCAAGGCTGGAAATCAACTGGAAAATAATCCGGTCACATATCAGAAAGAAAATTATTTATACTTATTTATCCAGGTAGAGCTCGTATCCCTCTCTGACGCCTCTCATCCTGCTCCTAAGCACATCACACAGCTCAGCAGGACACCCAGCCCCATACCACAAGACCTGTGCCCAACCTACAAAGCCATGAGCACGCCCGTGTTCCACCAACAAACTGCCAACACCTCGCCTGGCACAGCCACGTGGCCTTGGCCTCTGTGCAGTAACCACACACCTGCACCCACCCCTCCTCAGGAGCTCTAATATTTGTTGGGATCTGGTACCTGTGTTCTTTTGTGCATTCTTCCTCCGCTGAAATATGATTCTGCTTTGAAATACATTTATATGATCTAGAATGGCACAACACTGATGTCTTTTATGAGCTGAAGATTGTTTAATAAAATCTTGCATTCCTGCCTCATCCTTATGACAATTTTACTATTATAAGTTTTCAAGGGATATGAGAGCTGTCCACTGTGGTTAGAAA